ACGGCTTGTGGGCGGGATTATACCTGCCGACCAATGGCAAAATTCTAATGTTCCGCTCACTTCTACCTGTATCTGTATCCATGTTTGATCTTCTGCATCCCACCATCGTTCAATTCGCTAAACACTGGTAGTTCGACCCGCGCCGAACAACCGGTATAGTGGTTAGCGGTCTCTGACTGCCGTGCTCAAAGGTCCGGATTCGAATTCGGCTATACGTTTATAAATATCCTTAGTGTCCGTGCAAACCCCATCGGCGGCTCTGGATAATGGCGGACGGGTGCTGTACTGATTAACCATTAAGGTAAAGGGACAGTGCCCACGTCCTCCGTCACTTATCACTTAGTGTCCGTGCTGTTTCGGAGCACTTTAAATATCCTGCGAGCCGAAAGTCTTCTGGAGAGGTTGGGAGTAGGGAAAGAGGGGTCAGAAAGCTTCGCCCCCGGGGTGCTTTCCATCAAAATTAGGGGGCGGAAATGTGCTAAATCGCACTGTCACTTGTATGGTGCTCAAGGCTGTTGCCAATGACAGGCGCAAATTTGCGCTCATTGCCCCGAAGAATTTCGTGGGCTTGAGCTGACTATAGGTCAGACAAGTGAGTATTCCCACATAGCACAAAAACATCCTTGGGATATCCCGAGGATGTTGCTCGCGGGATATGCGCACATCCTCAGGACATACCGGAATATCCCTCGAACCTCCTAAACACCTCCTCCCAAGTGCTTAATGTCACATCCCAGGATATCCTCAGGACATCCTAACTAAGTCCCATCGACAGCGTGCGGGATGTTATTAGGATATGAACTCCTACTTACTACATCCTCAGGACATCCCGGGATATCCCACTAACCTCCTAAACACATCCCATTATACCCTAAAAACATCCTATCTAAGTCCCATCGACAGCGTATGGGATGTTATTAGGATTTAAAGTCGTACATACTACATCCTCAGGACATCCCGTAATATCCCAGTTTCCTCCTAAACTCATCCTCCTGAGTGCTTAATGTCACATCCCAGTATATCCTTAGGACATCCTATCCTATTCGCAGCAACAACATTTCGACCTGAACTCGAATCCAGGCTAACGAGCTGACTATATGGTTGGTTTTCGTGTTTTTTTTTTTTTTTTCAATACCAGACAGTTTTCCTGGAGTGTCCTCCACGAAGGTATTCCTCCCCTTATGTGCCTTTTTGTTTATTTACTTAGAATCATGCATGTTTAAGGAATTTTAATAGTGCAGTTGTAGTGCGGTATTCGTCCTCTTTACTATGCGAAAATTTTTGTTTAGAACAAGTCGAGTTCGATGAGTCACGACTGTGCGAGAGCTCTCTTGTTTACCCCTTTCGAAACAGTGCTATGAGGGCCCACGACGTCTTTTGTTACTATTCCGTAAAGAACCCGCGCTATAACTGTAAATTTTTCGCGTGATTCTGTACTTTTTCGCGTATTCAGTTTCAACAGTTAGTAAATCCTAAAATTTGTTAACAATGAGTTTTCGGAAAGTTAAGGAGAAGAGTTTAGTTTAGTGACGGAGGACGTGGGCACCACCCCTTTACCATTATGTTAATTGGTTTAGCGCCACTTCCACCCTTATCTAAAGCTGACTCATGTTAGAGCCACACGAGATCCACTCATAGGACACATTGATTAGTGTTACAAAATATAGATATTAAAAATGGTTACATCTGTGTGAACATAATACTTATGAGTTATGAACAAAACTTTAGCAAGTGACACATAAGATTACAATTCAATACCCTAGCTAATGAAACTAAAACTCGAAACAGCCAATAATAATTCTGCAACAACATTAACTACCCAATCAAATGCATTGAGAGCCGAAACTAACTCATTATGAATTAAAATTTCATCCAGAACACAATTTAATTGCTTTCTGCACTTCGGCTTAGATAGATTGCTGCTTACCACTTCTCTTTTTACGGCAAAGCTGTGAAAAATGTAAACTGGCACTCTAAGTTATTTGTGGCCGCAACATGTTTACTGAAGTAAAGATGAATATTTAATCCGCTTCATTATGAATCAACATTCTGTGCAATTAATATTTGTACAACGTTACGTCTAAATCTGCTTCATTGCATAAACCCTCTTTACCTGGGTTAAATAACAGAAGTGTTTTAAATGATAAAAATATTCATCATTTAAAACACTTGTTTGGCCGGCTATGTTAAATTTAAAAACATTTATTTCGGACAAATAACGAAATCTAACTTTTCATGCATTCTGTCTTTTCCTAAACTTATATTTGGGAAAATTTTATGTTTGTCAAGATAAAATAAAAATGCAAGAAGCTTAACTACCACACGGCAAGAATTGAGAAGAATATTCAATATCAACATTTGCAATTTTTGATGTCATTTTCGACTTGCCTCGAGAGATCAAGTGAGAAATTAATAAAGTCGAGGAAATACGTTTGAATGAAATGCAGTAAAAAATGTGCATAAATGTTATGACAACTTCATATAACCTTGACTTCGCACAGAAAAGTAGAAACATGATTATAAAATAAAAAAATCTGAAAGGTTTCAGATTTTAAATAACGTCCAAAAGGGGCGTTTTCTTAACATTTCGTCTGTTACCGTTTTTATTAAATATCACGTTCTTCGTGCTTAAACCATAAAATTCAGTTTAACAGCAGTATCGCAAAATAGTTTTAAATTGAGCATATCCTTTGGAATTTCCGATACACAGTCTCGCGCGTTGGAGGTAAAAATGTTTTTTCTGTATAACGTTGCCATGGCTCGCTTTGAAATCCTGGAGTTTATTGCTCAAAAATTCGTTAAAGTGTTACAAAATATGAAATCGATCATAAAACAAATTCCAAATTTTAAATTTGGGCTTCCACGTGCCCATATTCGTAAGAGAATCACGTCATTCAAAATTCGATGGCTCTATGTACCTTTTTTTATCACAATGCGAGAAAATATACATACATTTATGCAGATTTTTCATTATTTAATTTCTTCAAATATAATGCAGGACTCTAACACTTGGTGGCAACAGTTTGAAAAGTGAACCGACATTTATAGCGATCCAACGCAAAATCGCGAAACGAAAACAATAGTCCTTTCAGTGACAAAGCCCCTTTGAACTAATAATTATAAAAGCAGTAAATAGTTATTACTAAAAAAATAAAAAATAATCATTGTAAAAAATATAAATCGTTACTATAAAAAAGTTAATTAAACAGTTGTTATAAATAATATATAATAAACAGTTATTATAAGAAAGTTTGAATAAGGCATTATTACATTAGTTGTCATAAATATAAATAGTTATTATAGAAAGGAAATAAGAAAGAAAATAAAAGCCTAAAATAATTATTATAAGAAATAAACAATATACATAAGGATTTTAATGAGTGCAGCATTTCAGGTGTTGGTTTGGTTTGTTTAATTATGGCAAAGCACTCCAGGGCATCTGCCGAAGGGAAGGGATGCTTTTGTGGAGAACTTTCGAAAGAAAACTGTATAGTATACACGTTCCACATCGGGAACATCTATGAAAACACCCATACAGGTAGCCCGTTCGGAGGAATTCGAACTTCGGAGCAATCTACCCCTTTGGCGTCTCGCGAGCCATCATTTATGTGTTGTGCCGGTAATTAATAATAACAAAGATATAAGGAACTAAATTTATTAGTTTAAATCGTTTATCATTTGTTAACCAATAACAGACACATTAAATTAGAAAGAAAAATTAAATATTTTAGGTTTTGCCGAATGCCAGCAAACTGGCGAGAGAAAAATGAAAATATTTTATATCGAGAAGCGGCAGCACATTTCTTTCAAATAGCTTAAATTTTAAAAACAAATACCTTATGCTTTGACGAGTGGAAACACATTGCTTTTTAATTGTGGAGTTTGTTAATCAAGAATTCATTTATTTCGCACAAAATACGAAATAAGTCAAAAATAAATCCTAAATTCAAAATCTGAACTTCGAGGTGCACATGTTCAGGTGGAATACTGCTTGAATTTAAAAATTTGAGGCAGTTTTTCGAAGAATACGAAAAACTTATATACGTGCACACATACATACGCACACATACTTATATGACTGCTATTCGTTTGCGCGGCGAACGCCTAATATAATTACCATAAAAAAGGAAAAATATGTAATTATTTCAACGAGTTGAGTTAGTACCATTTCATAAAAATATTCAATATTTCACATTGCATTTTTATTTTAATTAATCAGGTTTAAAAGCAGGAAAAATATAATTAAGAGCTGCATTTATTATTGCTTTTATAGCGCTTAATTAATTCATCTGTAACAGATAGATTAAATTTGAAAGCTTTACTGAATGGCAAGATGTTGGCGCGTGGAAAATAAAATTAATTTCATTTCGGGCAGTGGCAGCACATTGCTTTCAAACAGTCTAGTGTGTTGACTAAAATCGAAAGCTTTATATCTTGCATTTTGCCGAATGGCAGCAGTCTGGCTCCGTGGAAGTAAAAATGCTTTATTTCGAACATTGTTGCCATTGCTGGCTTTTAAATTGTTGAGTTTGTTCATCGAAAATTCGTTAAATTCGTGCAAAAAATGAGATAAATTAAAAAAATTAATTTGAAATTAAAAATCGAAAATTCGTTAAATTCATACAAAAAATTAATTAAATTATAAAAAATTAATTTGAAATTAAAAAATTCGGGCTTTAAATTGCACATAATGGATGAAATATCACATGTGTTTAGAATTTGGTGGTTCAAGATGATGTCGTTGTATCGAGAATGCGAGAAACATACATGCTTACTAAATCACATACATACATACAGATTCTTCATTAATTAATAATACAAATAAAGAGGAAACCGGTTAATTTGCATTACGCCTTATCCGCTACCGGTTAATTAGAATCTGACTCAATCTTTCAATCAAAATTAGTAATGCATAACGTGATTAAAAACTTATGAGAAAATAATTACTTGCAAATATGTTTGTTTTTCGTTGGGGGGAACAAAATAACATTCAAACTTACTTTAGAAACGACGAGGGGTAATCCTGTTCCAGCTCCACCCTGCAGTCGAAACCCCCAAGGAAATCCACCGCTCAAAAGAACGGATAACTGGTCTTTTCTGCCCGTCATAATGACCAGCTTCTTTTTCTTCAAAGAAGTTGAAGAAGTTCTGAGCAAATCGTAACTTTCTTAAGTTAAGAAAACAGTATCAATTGTGATGAATTAGGATGAATATTGATTTCTTCTAGTTCTATTCGTTAACTGATATACAAATAATATTCCATATCCGTAAAATATTTATCATAAAAAAATGAGCACTTGATTTTTGCACGGGGCGGGGTAATTCATCTGTCGGAATTACTTTTCACAGATTCACCCTTTCTGAAGAATCAATTCTTATAGTTCCCACAATATGGGATGTTAAATCAGAAGATACTGACTGCCCCAAACCGTACAAAATACAGTTTTAGATGAAGTATGTTGTAGAACAAAAAAATTCGTAACACTTCTCCCGAAAAAAAATTTGAATAAATTTTGGAAATAATTATTCTGAAGATCGCATCAGAAATGTTGAAAGTTTATCAGCATCTTTTCCAGGAAATTGGCAGTCAGAACCGATCACTATAGCATCTGTTCTTTTCTTTTTTTTTTTTTTTTCCTTCTAAAATCCCGCTTTTAAAGATTTTTCTGTCCCGTGCAAATAGCGTCTCAAGATAATCCGCTTACTTGTCGAACATTCGTTAATTTCGATCGATTTGTTTCGAAAACGTTCCAAAGAGAATAACAGAATAATAAGATTGCGTCAGTCACTAAGAAATAGCCGAGAGAAAGTCTAGTTCCTCGTGGTTAGATTCCTTGCTCTCTCCGGCGTCCGTAGGATCCATTTTAGGCACAACGGACCTCGTCTGCTTCTGTCTCTTCCTGCCTACGCCAGAAGAGGAGAGGGGTCGTTCGAAAATTACCGAACATCTGTAATATTCCGCAGTGTTATTTATATCCCAGCCTTATTTTTAGACCCGTTTTCTCCCGGTTTATTTCCCTAACCTCGTGATTCTAAACCTTTTCATTTTTAATAATTTAAAAATTTGGCAGCGCATTAAGGGGACTCATGCACCTTAAAACCCATAAGATCTTCCAATAGGTGACTGTTACAAGAATTGGGATAACTTGTTCATTTTAAAAGCAATTACTTACAACTTTTTACAGCTGACTACATAATATAGCTGCTTTCTGAAATAGTCATCAGAAAGTTTGTGTTGCCAAAAATATTTTTATAATTTAATACGCTTTGTGACAACATTTTTCGTCATGTTTCCACCTTGCGCGCACAGTTTAAAACATTCTTTGCATAATTTAATTCCATATTTAATATATAGCTTTTATAACATTTAGAAATTACTGTGAAGCTAAAATTCTAAAAATTTCACGTTAAATTTTTATTTTATTTGGAGTTAAGTGTATAAAATGTATTTGATTAAAAAAAATTTGTAATGTTTTCGTCCGTAAAATTTTTCAATATTAAAATATTTATCATATTTTTGGTTCAGTTAAAATAGTACCCATATAAAGAATTCCATCCAATTTCAAGTATGTATCATTAGCCATTTTTAAAATAACATGCGCGCAAGGTGGAAACATGGCGAAATATTTTGTCACAAAGCGGACTAAATTACAAAAATATTTGTGGCAACACAAACTTTCTGGTTACTAGTTTCCAAAGCAGCTATATTATGTAATCAGCTGCGAAAGGTTGAAAGTAATTGCTTTTAAAACAAATAAAATATCCCAATTCTTGCAACAATCACATATTCGAAGATCATGAGGGGTTTAAGGTGTATGAGCCCCCTTAAAAATAAAATATATTTAAAAGAATTTAATTTGGTTAACTGATTGATATGCCTATAATACGCTACCTAAATAATAATCTACGATAATAGCTTTCCATGAAATATGAAGTAAAATTGCTTTACGAAGGAAACAAAAAGTTTATTTAAAGACTAATTAAAAATTACATTTAATGTGAAATTTAACAGTGAAGTTTTTTGATAACTTCATTTATATTTGGGCGTAAAAAGGTGATGTTATTTTCCTTTCTTGATCCAGATACAAAAATCTGTATCCTTTTTACATCCTCGTGTGAAATATTGTAATCGAGAAAAATTTCTGGCATCATACTTTAACGAAAATACTGATTTTGGCCGCCCTCGAATCCAATTGAAGTATTCTTTCGCGTTACATCTGCACGTACGGACAGAATAAAAAGACTCTTTTTTTCCAAATAGATTTAAAATGGGTTCAGAAGAGATTTTTTTTTCGTTACGTCTGTACGTAGATATTTATGCATCTCACGTAACTCAAAAACGTGCGGAACGTTGAAATTTTGTATATGGGGCTGCTATAACATGTAGTTGTGCACCTCCCGTTTTAGTTGCAATCGGCCGCACAAAAAGTATATATATGTTGCGTGCGTACGGGTTCGTTATGAAATGAATGCACAAGTCCGATGAAAAATGAACAAAAATTTATTATTATCACAACAAAAATGCTTAAATTTTCTCAAATTATCATGCAGTATTACAATATCTCACAGTAGTTATCTTTTAACTACTCAAATGTCCAATAGAACGTAATTCAAAACAGCTAAGGAACGCTAATCCGCGAATTCGCTAAATCAACAACAGTAGTTTTCTAAAAAACAACAAAGCAGCAACTACTACAAACTGAGATGTTTTCCTCCTTTTATAAGATTTTAAAATCACGCGCTAGAATTTTCCAGTACTTTCTCGAAATCAAAAAGAGATATTTATTTATTTAACGCACGCGCTCTTGTATTTTTAATTTTTCCGGCTTAGCTTTCTTTTAATATTCGTCACGCGCTGCACTGCGCGAGAAATAAAACCATTTAATTTATAATTGAACTAACATTAGCTTTTTAAATACCAAATTCGTAACAGTATATATATTAGAGACATTAGGTATTTTGGAAGCAGGAAAGATGAAAAATCAACAACGCCTTCGCCGGGAATCGAACCGCGGACCTCTAGAATACCGACCCACCGTGCAGACCACTACACCACGAAGGCACGCTAGGAAAGCGGTAGAAATACCTTATATACTCCCCTTTTTAAAGAACGACTATGGTTTTTAGGGGACCCAATTGCCAAATCCTGAGTAAGAAGAATCCTCATTCAACACCTTTTTAGTTCGGGCGCCACTGTAGAGACATTAGGTATTTTTGTGAAGTAGGCAAGATGAAAAATAGGCAACGCCTTTGCCGGGAATCGAACCGCAGACCTCTCAATTACGCTCTGAGCGTGCAGACCACTACACCACGAAAGCTCGCTAAGAAGGCGGAAGGAATGGATTATAATATATATATCCATTCAGTTACCTGTCTCAGTGAGCTCAATTTTTTTATTCTTATACTTTAGTGTAAATTGTGCCTTTTTTTGCTTTAAAAGTGGTTGAATTAAATTGTTCTTATGTTCCGGTTAAGGTTTTTACTTCTTTAGTTAATCTGCATGCAGTACTTGCAGAATTATCAGCAATTTAAAAGTTGAAGTATCACTAGGCCTAATGAGGCCGACATTTATTTACTTTAGAAACTATTAGTGAAACGGGAAATTAAGTCAGTTGGCGCATCAAATTCAGTGTCCTTTATGCAAATTCTTATGAAACTTGCAATTACACCCCCCCCTTTTTTTTTTTTCTCTCTCTCTCTCTCTCTCAAAGAGTTAGTATGGGAAGGCATTACCAGTTGACCTATGGTACATCGCTGGTGTCCCCCATACTTTTACCTTTACCTTTACCTTTTGTCCGATGGGATGGAACGTAAACTTTCAGTTTTGTGCACCGAAAAATTGGTCTTCCTGCATGTTGGGTGAATTGCTGCTTGTCTTTCAATTTTTACAATTAAAATTAGAAACTCTAATTTGACTTAACTCTAATGTCAATTGGAAATTCTAATTTAAATTGTATTTTTTACTTTATTTGGTGTTTTAGGTTTGTATTTGGTGTATTTTACAGTATTTAATGAAGATGTTTTGTTCAACAGTAAAGGTTCGTAATGATTTAAACTTGCATTCCGATTTTTTTTTAAAACAAGCATGTTGAATTTATATATATGTGATGAATCAGCTTTTGTCCGGAATAAATAGAATGCTGAAGAATCATAAATGTAGTCGTAGCTTAAATAATCAGACGATAAGTTTAAAAAACAGGATCCATTATTTATTATTCAGGAGAAAATAGCATTACAAAAATCAGATATCCGGAGGTAAATAAAATAATTACTAATAACTTTTTGTATGAAGTTTACTGCATCGTGACATTTAAGAAAAAAGCCCGATATTCCTTTTGCGAGTCTTTTTTATAGCCTTGGAAAGGCGGAGCTTCCAAGAAATGACGTCAGTCCTCGTCAGCCAATCCAGGGGGGGGGGGGGGGGGGGGGGGGGGGGGGGGGGGGGGGGGGGGGGTGGGGGGGGTATTTCCAAACATTGTGGGGGGGGGGGGGGGGGGGGTGTACGTGTGAAAAGGCGGGAAAACAACTTGACTACGGGGCTGTGGATTTAATTCCACGTACTTTCAATAAGAGAACGTCGCCATTAAAAAATGAAAAGAACATACAGTTAGATTTTTAAGTGTATTCTTGATTATGGAATTTTATTATTACATATATATATATATATATGTGCGTATACAGTCGCTTATTTTAAAAAATAAGATCAAGGAAAATCATAGATGTATACTTTTTAGCAGAAGTATATTTTTTGTAGCGTAGAAAAAATTGGACAACAAGGTTAACTTTTTTTGTGCGATTTATGTCTAGATCTTAGTTAAATTAATGTGATATTTGCCGATATTAATCTTAGCATTTATTAGCATTTTTTTTTTTTTTTTTTTTTTTTTTTTTTTTTTTCTAAAATAAATTTAGTATTTTTTCCAGCCTGTATGAATACTAATACATATAGATCTTGGCACGAAAATAAAAAATACATGTCACAATTATTTGTAATAGTATATTATTATAAATTATTTAATAACTGTGAATAATTATTGTATATATAATAATTATTGTATAATTATTATAAATAAGTTAATCTTTTACTATAGGAATTAAAAATCGATAATTTTTCAAATTATTATCGATTATGGGTCCAATGTTTTTTTTAATATTAAATTGCTGAAACATGAATATTTTCTTCATTTCAGAAACTTCTTTGATTAGAAGTAAATAACTTCAACCAACGATAGCGGAAAAAAATGGCTGGGTGAGGACTTTAAAGTCGGGTAAGAGGATTAAGTGCATTTTCATACTTTTAGTACTGCTAATTTCAATAAAAAAAGGGTGGTGCACAACGAGATGTTATACCAGTCCCGTACGCGAAATTTCAATGCTCTCCAGCTAATCGTTTTTGAGCTATGTCAGATTCATACGTTCGTACATGCAGATGACACGAAAAATCCATTTTTATTCCATTTTACAATCCGCTTTGAAATCCGTTTTGCAAAAAAAAAAAAAAAAAAAAAAAAAAAAAAAAAAGAGTCCTTCATTACGCGCGTATAGAAGTGACGCAAAGAAGAATCGTCCAAATAGATTCGGGAACGGCCAAATTGGATATCTCCATTGAAATACGATACGGCTGATTTTTAAATTTTACTTACATACGCTGTCCCAGAAGAAAAGAAAGAAAATTCAAGATAAATTAATATTTAATGTTTAATTTGAGCAATGCATTGCATAAAATGACTATAAATATACTTCTACAATTTAACACAGAGTTACACACACAAAATTTAAAATTAACTTTCGGTCCCACTGGGCTAAAAGGCCCTGAAGTTGGTGCACCAACGGACTTAATTTACTATTCTCTTAAGAGTTTCAAATAGCAGCCTCGTTAGGCCTAGTGGATA